TCTATCTGTCAGTCTGATGGACGAGTCTGTGTTTGGCAAATGCCAGGAGAACGTTACCTACCTGACTACATTGTGCCAACTGTAAAGATTGGTAGAGGAGGGATAATGATATGGGGTTGTTTTTCAGGCCCCTTAGTTCTATTGAAGGGAAATCGTAATACTTCTTATTACCAAGACATTTTGGACAGTTGTATGCTTCCAACTTTGTGGGAACAGTTTGGGGAAGACCCTTTTCTGTTCCAGCATGACTGAGCCCCAGTGCACAAAGCAAGGTCCATAAGGGCATGGCTGGATGAGTTTGGTGTGGAAAAACTTGACTGGCCCACACAGAGCCCTGACCTCATCCCCATCCAACACCTTTGGGATGAACTAGAATGGAGATTGTGAGCCAGACCCTCTTGTCCAATATCAGTGTCTGACCTTACACGTGCTCTTCTGGATGAATGGGCAAAAATTCTCCCACACACAAAATCTTGTAGAAAGCTTCCTAGATGATTGGAAGCTGTTATTGCTGCAAAACTCCATATTAATACCTATGGACTTAGAACAGAATATCCTAAACACTTAACATGTAGATGTAATGTGTAGGTGTCCCAATACTTTTGTCCATATGGTGTACTTCACAACACACACTCACAAACATTACCCAGTGCCTGTGTACAGAATTTTTGCACAATCTGTTGTGTTTGTTTATGTATATTGTTTATATTCTATACAGTATTATTAGAGAATTTTATTGTACAGAGAAACTTGTTTTGAACTGTGCATATAAAAGTAAACACTTTGACTTTGAACTGTACAGTGTCTGTATGTGACTGGTGTGACAACAGACATGAAGGAACACTGGGACAGTTTTACTGATCAGCAAAATCATCAGATCTCAAGTCTCAATTCTCAGTTTGAAACAGTAGGTAAAATGATGAAATATACTGTAGCATTGGAATAGAGTAAGACACAAGGGAGGCTCTGATTCCAAAATCAAAGAAGACTTTATTGAACACCAGGGCAGAAAGGCACATACAAAGCACTGAACTCATGGTAGTCCAACCCCCCAGCACGAAACACTCACAACCCCTGAAATAGAATAACACAATAACACATATGCATACAGTTAAACTAACAAACAGTGACGTTTACAAGGAATCCCTCTTTATGAGCCTCTGCACATACCATGTCGCTACGATACACACATTAAGTCTGGCTGAAATGTACATGCAGTGTGTAAAGGAATACATAGTTCAAGGGATTAATGCTGTCAATAAGGCAGGGGGACACAAAAAACAACAGTCGAAAGCAACGCCAAGATATCAGTTTCTACACCTTCTGTATTAATACAGCATGCAGTGAGTGAAACACTTGAAGAGATGTCTTTTTCAAGCTATTGAAGGCCATAATTTCTTCAAGTGATGAAGTTGGATTGGACTCATCCTGCTAGTTTAAGCATGTAGCATTCAGATCCTTCCAGACAAAAACAATCACTAAAAGTGCTTGTCTATGATTAAATTCAATTCAGAAGACTAAATAACTTTCTTACTTGGACTGTCGAATTTTCACTGTCAATTCAGTCCACCAGTGTCCTTAATTATCTCACTGACCTCAGCCTATTTCATCTTTTCTCCCTAGTTGATGGTTCTCTTCTGCTGATGGTTCAGGTTGTGTGGGTTGGAGAGTCTGATGGTTTATCTCCTCTAATGATGCTGTCTGTCTTCTTGTTCCAGGTTGGTGTACAGACCCTCCTCCACTTCCTCTTCCTTACCTAGGAGCATCACAGTGGAAGAGGATACTTTAACTTCACAATGGAAACATAGCACCATTGTTAAGATTTGAGCTAATTAAGCTGATTGTATGAAATCTGACAAAATTGCTCTTGCTTATTATAATTACCTATTCAATAATTTTTAACAATTTAACCACAATATTCTGAAAGTAATCTAGGCCGGGACTTTACAGTGGCATAATATTAGCTGCTACAGCAGTGCTCTTTCATATTTAGCCAACATTTGATGGTCAAGGCAATTATATAGAAATGTACAATGTGAGATGAACTTGAAACTGAGAAACATCGACACTTTTGCCTTCCATATTTACATCATTTTAAATAATATATAAAGACTCTTATATGACTAGGCCTGTCACAATTAGTACAGAATCACCTAATCATGGTTATGTCCGGTTAACTTCCCCAGTCTTGCGCAGTCTCCTTGTCCTTTTGGGGGCTTGGATTTCAAGCAAGTGATCCTTATCCACCATCATAATTGAACAGCCATTCTGTTGCCAATAAGACACTTTATGCCAAACTACATCAAACATTGACCAGAGCAACATCCAGCTGCGTCTGCCTATCATCACACCCATCACCAACTCCCATATGCAGCCCCTATCTTCTAACAGCCATCTCTACTCCTTGTCTATTTATCTCAGGAAGTTAACATCTGCTTATTCTTATCCAACCCTTTACTTGATATGTTTAACTCAATCTTCACAATCTAGTATCAACCAGAGGACGATGGGTTACCCTGTTGAGTCCTGGTTCCCCTCAAGGTTTCTTCCTCACTCTCCTGAAAGTCTATCTTTGCCACTGTTGCCCTCGGCTTGCTCATTAGGGGTTTAGACTCAGATGTCTGTTAAGCTGCTTGCAACCGTCTCATCTCACCGTCAAGCAATAAAACCATGTCAAATTCATCTGCTCCATCTTTCCTCTTATCTTAATAGCAACTGACCAACCCCTCATTTTAAATCCAGCTCCTCCATGTCCTGCTCCATATATTCCATATATTCATACCAAGTTCTACAAAAGCTGCCACAGTTCTCATGTCACTGTTTCAGAATCAGCTTTTGTAGTATGGAATCTTCTGGACCACTATCTTTCTCATCATATGAAGGTCCCTTGATTATACTCCTCATGCACCTCACTTAGTCAAAGACCCTGGAGTTCTTTGGTGGTCTGGCCTCCTAGCTCTAGGCAGAAGCTGTCCAGAACTTCACCCCTAGTTCTCACCCCTCCAAATCTCAAATATGATAATCAATAATCAGCTAAAATTCATGACCGTGAAATCCCTGTACTTTGACTCTCATTCTGTTTAAAGATACTTTCTGAATGGACCTTTATTGGGTAGTAAACACAGATCTCTTACTTTCTTTTGCTCTGCTGGTCTGTTTCTTTGGATTCTGGCATAGATGTGAAAACCTCCTAACAATGACAGCAGAATAATAATCTCCAAAATCCACACAGACACAAACACAATTTCTAAGCGAGAGAGAGAGAGAGAGAGAGAGAGAGAGAGAGAGGGAGAGAGAGAGAGAGAGAGAGAGGGAGAGATTAGCATAAAATATACCATAAAGTATTACATTAGCTATGAAACCAGTAAACATCAAATTCAGAAGCAGGATTAAAAACAGTACAGAGAGAGAATGGACTGTAACAACAACAATGTTGACAATGAAAATGAGCTGAATAGGAATTTAGTTCTATTATGATCTATACTGAAATATACAGAATAACCAATATAAAGGGCTTAATGTATGTAATAGATAAATCATTACAGGCTTTCTTGCAATGGAACGATTTTATTTTAAATTGAAAATAAGTATTTTAAAGACAAAAAGAAAAATGTGTTATAGCCACAACTATATAGATGCTACAGTAGTCTCTGGAGTGGGCCTTACTAGGTTAAAGTCTAGGCAAACCCCCTTCTTGCTGATATATCTCAGAGGTGAGAGGGAAAAGTAGCCAAGCTGCTTTGGGTTGAATTTATAGGTGAATCTATGTTAGAGTTTTAGGTGGGATGTTTTGATAGGTGTAGATGTAAGAGGGGCCAGGGGAGCGGACATGGCCCTACAATGTTGTGAGGGGATGAACTGCCCTCCCAAATAATTCTCTTTCAACACATCCAAACCTTACTTTTTAACAATGTTGTCATTGCTTTCAGATGGTTGTTTGGATGACTGACATCTGTGTCTGGGTGACACTTATGTATGACTAACTATGATGGGCAGGCGTCTGGTTTTGGAACAGAAAGTCCAGTTTTGAGTTCTTTTGTCCAGTTGGTATTCCCCACTCGTACTGCTTGTAAAATCTTTGGTTGAGTGTCACTCTACAGGTATTTGATTTTTGTTGAAGTGGATAAAGTGCAGTTCTAGTCCTGTCATTGCACTTCTGACTTTCAGCTCTCTAATGACCACACTGAAATCTGTTGGAGAGATCAGAGCCCTGCTAGAAAAGCCAGCACAGACCAGCATGTCTGGTCACCAGCAAACTAGCATATTGCTGCTGGTAGAAGAAAACCTTGTATCTCCAAAATGGTAACTTTACAGGAGAAGGAAAAACCTACTTTTAATGTAAATCAATGTAATCAGAAGTTTTTCCAAGTCATTTTGGACCATTTCTTTCAATCCATTCTTCACAAAATTTGCACACAGTGTAAAGGGTAACAGCCTTGCATAAGTTTAATGTTTAAAACTGGCAGTTGCTAAGTGCTTAAAGGCACATGTCTTCACATAGCAAGCTAGCTAACAGTGTTTTTAAGTTAATATAGCTAATTAGAGTTATATTGCTTAGTAATCCATGCTGAAAAAAACAAAAACAGCACAGACAGCATGAATACCATACTCATTTATGCTTGTTTATATTGGTTTAGACTGGTTTGGTGCTGGTTTAGTTGTTCACCCAGCATGGTCATAGTGATTGACCAGCATATCAGCATCCAAAACCCAAAACAGACCAATTTTTTTTCTGGTGACCAGCATATTACCCATCAGTTGTCCTGACCAGCATACCAGCATCCTAAACACAACATGTGTTGGTTTTGCTGGTGCAAAGTCTTGTTGTTCTGGTTTTTGTAACAAGTAGGAAAGCTGGAGTTTTACTTAAGAACAAAGTTTCTCTAGTATTGAGCTTAAGGCTTGTTCAAAAATTTTATTTTAAGAAATTTTGTACCAAATAAGGTTTTAAGGGCTTTTGTGACACTGATTTTCTTGCAGTGTTGTCTTTATCAAGCTATTCACTTACTCTGAAAACTGAAAGGGACTTGAGGGTTGGAGGTGCGATTATGAGTGGGGTTCTGAGCCTCTTTATCAGACACTGTGAGACTTTTACCCTTGCCTGATTGTGTCAGTGGGGTCATTTTGGTCTTCTGAGTTGTAGTGGAGGTCACAGTTGTAGGATCTGTAATTACACACCAACAGAGCATCAATTGTGATAAAGAGAAAAGTGAGTATGTCATTTAGGTAGTTTCTTTTTTGGGATAAGTTACATTTTCTAAATGTCCTGCAATGTCATAAAAATAAGTTAACACAACAATAGGCTTCTGCCTTATAGATACAAAACAATGACAAGTCTATACAGTAAATATGCTGAAATCATATAAACCCACCACTCTAGCTACCCTTCATTATGAAGTATGCGTTCAGTCTACTTTTCAAATCGAACAGCTGAGATGTCAAGCAAAAACAGAGCAAACTGTCAGGCATCCCAGCATCCTCGGTTAAAGCTGACTTAAACAGCAGGCCTGAAAAATTATGTGTCATTTATATCATACCTTTGATGACTTCCTGTGCAAACACGAAATTCTCAGAATAAAGACAACAATGAAACTGCAGCTTCTTTAGCACATGCCAACAGTTCTGACATTTTTTTGGCTTTGGAAAAAAGTAGAAAATGTGAGTAGAAAATGTGTAGATCTCACATTTGTAGGACAGAAGCTTGATAGCAGTGGTTGGTAAGCAGTGACTGGAGGCCTACTTTGGGTTCTGCCTTGAAAGCTGCGTCTAATAACACTTTCACAGTTGCATCACTGTTGTTGTTGTTATTGTTGCTGTTGTTTTATTTCTCATTTAAATCTTTAAAAAGACAAGACTTACCAGGACACTGTTGTAGTTCAATAGTTTTGTTTCCACGGCTAACATGATTTTGTGCATAACAGGTCACACTTCCAACAGCTTCCTTGTCCAGCAGAAGAGTTTGTTTCTCATCAGTCAGTTGGTGTGTTTGTTGGAAAGTCCAGTTGTAGTGCACATTCTCTCCATCAGAGGAACAGTAAACTTTCCTCTTCTCAATAGATAAGCAGCTGTCTGTCACAGTCACTGAGGACACCACAGCTGCAAATTATAGATATCGACAGCTCAGTGTAGATTACAGGCCAGCCAAGATTATAGGCCAGTCCAGATTATAGCTCAGTCCAAATTACAGGCCAGTCAAGATTACATGTCAGTCTATAATAAAGGCCAGTCTAGATTGCAGTTCAGTCTAGATTAGAGCCCAGTCTATATCAGAGCTCAATCTAGATTAGAGCTCAGTCTATATTACTGCTCGGTCTAGAGTGTGGTTCCGTCTATATTACAGCTCATTGTAGATTATTAGCAAGTCTAGATTATGTGAATCAATTTTATGAGCTAATAATGTTATCTGGCTGTCTGAATTTCTCCACCACTTAATTTTCTATAAATACTGAATGAGACAGTTAAATTTCTATAATTAAGATTTTTTTTCTTTTCTGAATACAAGAACTTACAATCAAAGCTACTGATATTTTGGGAAAACCTGCAAGATATTTACAAATACAGCAGTAACACAATGTTATCCTGAGAAGTGATATTTTCTTATAGTTATTTGCTATTTACTCTTAATATTTCTCATTGAGATTATTGTAAGTTATTTAACTTATTTCTAGACATTTTTGTGTGTTTATAGTGATTTTAGTTAGTCTTTTATCTCACTGTACTGGTAGATAATTTTTCGTGTTGTAAAAAATTCTCTATTAGGAATTTATATGAGGTAATTAGTAAATATAGTAGTTTTATGTTTTTGTTACTGTGTGATGTGATTAGAGGTTGTTTAGACCTACCTTCAATAACCAGCTGGAGATGATAAATGCCTCTGTCTCTCCCTGCTGAATCAAATGTTTCTAAAATGTATCTTCCTGAGTCTCTTTTCTCTGCACTGTTTATTATCATGGTGCTGTTATTAGTAACAAACTGCCATCTTGGATAATCTGAATGGTTTTGTGTGATTTTTTGTTTTTTAAATCTGAAAACGTATCCAGAAGCAGTTCCACTGATGTTCTTCTTTAAGTCTAATTGATCTTCAGATGGCAGCTGCAGGTACAGTGGTCGTCCCACAGCTCCATAACATGGATCACTCTGAGTAAATCTACAATCAGGGTTCATGAACAGCAAACCTGCAGAGGAAGAACAGCAAGAACTTTCAGTCATTAATCTGATACAGTGAAGTGTCGTCTACTGTATTCACCTCTAAAACACTTTAAACAGCCTGTTTTTACCAGAGAGCTGAGATTAAACACTGAGTGAGTGTAAACATTGAGTATGATGTGTAAAGATGTGTAAATGAGTGAATGTTTTTGTGGAGAAGACAAAAGGAATGTAAAAAATGTGCATTTAAATTTTATGTTTTAACTGTTTAAACAATAATTATTTTAATTTTACATTATAAAAGGAGGAGAGCAAGCAAAGTCAACATCAATTAGAATTTCCCTTTTTCCCCAAAATTTCTGCATGAAGTCGTTCAGAGTGGATTGACGTGGAATGTTCAATTCTAGAGAAACTAACCGGAATAAACACTCAGTAGCTCTTAGAAAGACACAATACCTCACAACAAACTAGACTAAAAGCCTGGGCTTTATATCAACACTAACTAGGCAGGTATTGACAGCAACAGGTGAAACAGATTAGTATTCAGGATACAAAGAGCAGTAACTGGTGCACAGTGGAGGGTCAGGAGTCATGTGATGCCCCAGAGGATTCTGGGAGATGGAGTCCTTGGAGGCCCCAGAGCCAGAGGGATGCGTGACAACTAGTTTCTATCTTTGAATTCATGAAATATTCTTAAATTGATCCTGAAATTGTCTTTTATGCCTGAATTTGTATAATAACTGCATAAATATACTCTACATTTTAGTATTAAGTAACTTCCACTTAAATTAGTGATCTATTTTCTTGTTTACTGGCCTTCATGTTTTCAGTTTGCTAAAATTAAGAATGTAAAAAGAATGAATTGAGATATTTTTGTTAATATTCAGTGTATTTCACTCATTACTCTGCTGTAGTAAGTCTGATCTGAGTAATCTGGTCCAAAAAACAGCATCTTCTACTTATTTCAAACCTGTGAACACTTATCAGAGCCTTCTTATTTCTAGATTGGATCCAAATCATTAAGATTTATTGTGAAGTGAAATGATCTTCCTGCATGGACAGACAGTTTCACTAGTGTTAAGTTTACTCAAATTAATGTTCATTTCTTGTATTTTAGTGTATTTATCTTTTTTGCCATGTACCTCTAAAGCGCAACCCTCACAGAGAGCTATTACAGGAAGTGGTTATGAATATGTGTCCTGATGTCTGAGACCGTTAAGATAGTTTGGTGAAGGTTTTGTCCTTTAAGCCTTTATTAATATTAAAGGTAAAACAATTCCCAGTGGAAAACTATTTAACCTAATTAATATTACATATTAAGACTCAGAAGAAAATTATAGTCATAAAACAACACTGATGTTAACTGCATATAAAGTAACAGCTTGTCAGGGTTATTGCCAAGCCTGGGCTTCCAGGGATAACCAGCCCGGACCCTTATAATGTAATACAGGGGCGTGTTCTCTCACTTCTCCAGCTCAGAGAGACAGAGAAAGAGTGAGCATGTACACATGAGAGCTTGCATGGGAGAAATGTTTGTGTGTTCACTCATTTGAAAACAAGCCCAACCCAAATAAAATATGAAAAATATTCTTCTAATACTTTCATCTTTTTTGTTTCTTTTAAAGTTAAGTTGAAAGATGCAGTTTAATTTTTAAAATAAAACTTTACTCAGGAAATTATTTTCTGTGTCATTACCAAAACACAAAGAGTTTTAGTCTGTAGGTGAAGTTTTATTTTAGGCACACCCCTGCATTTTAGAGCAGGAAGTGAGACTGCATCCCTGTCCATCTTGGCCACATGGTGAGCAGATCCCATTGTTTTAGAGCAAATATGTCCCAAAGTTTGAAAAGCAGTGTGTAACATCTAGAATGTCACTACTGAAACACATATTTGCTGCAATTTGGTAGACAGTTTTTTTTGTATTTAGATAAAAAATATTATGATTTTATATGTGTACAACTGTTGAAAACTCTGTTAGCTCTTCATGTTGTGGTGTTTTTCAGTTCTGTCCAAAATTAGCTAAACTTGTCACTACTAGAATATTCACTACTGAAACATTTGGTTAAGTGTAAGTGTTATGATTTGACAAAATGAAATCCTCAATCATTTGTTTTAATAAAATTAGCTTAATTAATTTATAGGTTCACTCAAAGCAAAATGATTTTCGTCTAAAGCCAAAGTCAGAATGTGTTTTAGGCTCTGACTTTACACCAATTCAGTAGAAAGATGGATATAAATTGAAAACTGTCACATGATCAAACATCTTTGCCACTGTCATCAAAAAGTGTGAAGCCTTAAATCATAAAATGAAATGCTGCTGCAGAAACTTACCCATTCCAGCTTCTGTGAACATCAGCAGGATTCCAAAGATGACCAGCATTTTCATTTAGTTCAGAGAAAAGGGTCCAAGATGGTCAGGCGTCGCCTCCACACTGATCGCTCTGAGATTTTATGCAACAAAAAAATGAAAAAGAGGAAGCGTCATTTTATTTGTCTAAGAGGTCACTTCCTACAATCCTTTTAAAAAAATGCAGAGACTTTTATAATTGTATGTATAACTGGACTTCATTTCGTCATTTCAGTTTCTGGAAATTCGGTTTTGGTGTAAAGCAGGTCCATGAAAACATCATGCCACATTATTTATAACCTCTTTAACATTCTTAGCTTCTGTCTCTGCCATATTAAGCATGACTTTTTGATTATGTCACCGTGCACCACAGATTTTCACAAAGTATGTTACCTTTGTTAAAGACCTGCCTTTTACTCCCCAATTCATAGAATCTATAAACTGTAAAACAGATTCATTTTGAATTCACAGATTGAGTGATATCACAAGTATGTGAGAACTATCTCATTTACTTCCCTGATCCAAAAAAAAATGGGATGCAAAATGTAAATAAAAATAAAATGCAATGATGTACACATCATGTAAACCTTATATGTATTTGAAAAATACATGAGTTTAAAGACAACATATAAAAAGTTGAAACTAGAAATTTTATTGTTTTGTTTTTTTTTTTTACATATATGCACATTTTGAATCTGATGGCAGCAACACATTTTAAAAAAATATTTGGGAACTGAGGAGACCATCTGCTGTAGTTTTGAATGTAAAATGTTTTCCCTTTCTTGCTTGATTTAAGATTTCAGCTGTTCAACAGTTCGAGGTCTCCTTTGTCATATGTTTTGTTTTATAATACACTATTTCAGTGGTGACAGGTCAGGACTGCAGACAGGCCAGTTTAGCCTCCAAACTCTTTTACTATGGAGCCATGCAGCTGTAATATGTGCAGAATGTGGTTTGACAATGTCTTGCTGATATAAGCAAAAAGATGAGCGTCATTTATGTCATGTGCCCCCCCCATCACAGATGCTGACTTTTGAACTGTATGCTGATAACAAGCCAGATGGCCCCTCTCTTCTTCAGACCCAAGAATGTGGTCTCCATGATTTCCAAAATAAATTTCAACTTTTGATTCTTTAGACCACAGGACACTTTTCCACTTTACCTCAGACCATCTTAAATGAGCTCAGGCCCAGAGAAAGTGGCAGCATTTCTAGATCACGCTTGTACATGGTTTCTTCTTTGCATGGAGTTTTCACTTGCACGTGTGGATGCAGTGTGTGATGAAGTGTGTTCGCAGACAGTGGTTTTCAAAAGTGTTCCCGAGCCCATGCAGTGATTTCAACTAGAGAATCATGCCTGATTTTAATGCAGTGCTGCCTGAGCCCCAAAGATTATGGCCAGTGAGTATTGGTTTTCAGCCTTGTCTCTTGCATACAGAGATTTCTTCAGATTCTCTGAATCTTTTAATGATATTACGTACCGTGGATGATTTTACATTGAAAAACGTTATTCTTGAACGGTTGCACTATTTGTCCACAGAGTCATTAACAGGGGGGTGATCCCCTCCCCGTCTTTACTTCTGAAAGACTCTCTGAGTTGCTCTTTTTATACCCAATCATGTTACTGACCTGTTGCCAATTAACCTAATTAGTTGTGAGACGTTCCACAGACGTTCCGTTTTTTTGGCATTCCACAAAGGTCTTTTGTTGCCCCTCTCCCAACTTTTTTGAAATGTGCTGTTGGCATCAAATTCAAAATGGGCATATATTTTACTGTCATGTCTCTCCCTGGCTCTGCTGTAACCACTACTCTTCACTCCATTGCAGACTCCAACTCTCAGAATCCTCTAGGAGGTCACATCGCTCTGGACTCTTTACAACCGTCCTATACATGTTCAGCCTCTCCTGATTATTGATAGTTGACACCTCTATTCCTTGTCATATGATCCCTTAGAGTTAATATAAAGTCCAGACTTTTAGATCGGTTCCTTGTGAAGTATTGGATCAGACTGCTGTTCATTACAGAGCCTTTTGTCTGTAACCATTTGCCTGTGTGTGACCTTAGTCAGTTTTTGGATTCCATCTCTGGTTTGTTTCTTTATTAAACCTTTTACACAACATCCATCCAGATCCCTCACATGTACAAAAAAACTATAAAATTTCTCAGTTTCAACATTTGATTTGTTGTCTTTGTGCTATTTTCAATTAAATACAGAGTTTAAATGATTTGCATGTCATTTCATTCTGTTTTTATTTACATTTTCCACAGCATCCCAACTTTTTCAAACAGAGTTGTACCTACATCCACAGCCTACAATAGTTTAGCCCAAACCATCTGCATTGAATTTATAATAAGTGTTTCAGCCCAGACTGCTTTTATAATAAAGCAAAATGCAGGGCAGCCAATCAGAGAATAGGTCATTGGTGTATATATTTCTTAAATGAACATCAGCCTGTTTAATTCTAAGGGATAAGGAGAGATTGGAAACATATTTTACTTACTGCTGCCGAAAATTCATCACAATATGGAAGGAAAATGCATTATAATTTCCAAGTCAGGCTGTTTGTGAACTACTTTCGAATCGTTCATCAACCTCTGATCTTTAAACTGACAGTTCTTCTCCAGTCGCCTGCATTGCTCTGCTTTATCCACTCGAGAGAAGAAGTTTCTCATATTAAAAGG